ATATTATTTTATATATATAACATATATAATTATATATTTATATATCTATTATTAAACAGGCTTACATTACCTCCTGCATTAGCATGATCACTGATTATTTTTTCAAAATCTTCTCTATCACCAGTTTTTCTGTAAAGATAATAAAAATATAAATAAAACCCCTGAAAAATCAAGATAAGCATGGTAAAAATAGTAAGTAACAGAAGTTACCTACCCTGTCTTTAATGCGTATAAACTAAGTTTTGCTGATGAAATAGGCAGGTTTTCATTAATTCAAAATGGGGTCTTGGCAGGATCTTAGATTATGCTGTGCATTTGTGATAAATTAAAGTTTTAGTGGTCTGAGGTCCGATTATGGATTGAGGCCAAATAGACTGTCATTGGCTATAGACTGTCATTGATTAAAAACTCCTAGGCTGCAACAATCTCAGTTTTTGTTTGGTTCAGGTTTTTTGCTTGAAGCCATAACTATATTTCATATAATATAACTGGAATTTATATTCAAGCGTTTATTGGAATTACATTGCATTATATTCAAAGGAGGTGAGAAGGTATTTCTGTTTTGAGAGGAAATATGAATAACAACTATGAACTTCAAAATTACTTGTTCATTGGTAGTAATCCAGATTCTGTGACAGAAAATGGCAGCCCTCTGAGTTCTCTAAGGTCAATAAATGGCAACCTGAATGTCAAACCCAAAATGATGAGAAGGACAGGTAGCCCAGATTAACCTCCATATAAGCAATACATACTTTGATACATACTTTCTGAATTTCTTCACTTGAAATATCTTCTTCACTTGAAATATCTTAGATATATTCATATGCAAAAGAAATACAAACATGTAGATCTGGTTTACATTTTCATTATTGCATTATTCAGAATAGAATAATAATTTTTTGTTTCAAACTAATATGCCAGGAAGCAACACATAACTAAAGATAGGGAAAATATTAATATCAATAAGCCAGTCAGCAATTACAATGCATGTCTGACTAGCTATCTTTGGTTCAGCCAATGCATGTTAAGTGCTTTGAAAATATCAAGTATAATTTAAAAGATACATTGCAATTATTTATTCTTATTGTGGTGAGCGACAGTGTAGTTTCTAGCTTCATTATTTCTCTCCACTTTTGAAAGGAAATTTAAACTGAGGGGCTTATTTTTTCAGATGCATTCAATAAATTGAATCTTCAATGTATAATGAGACACTAAGAAATTCTCACTTCCTACAAGGCTCAAATGATTAATATTGGATTAGTACTAAGGAGTGCTGAAAAGCAAGCTGAGATCCTCAGAAACAGAAACCAGAAGCCAAGTGAGGCCAGTGAAAACATGTATGTCAGTATCTGGAGCATATGATTGTTCACTGTATCAGAAGACTTTTTTTTTTTTTTTTTTTGTATGATACTAATTGTTTGCATTTAAAATTATTTTCCTGGGATCTTAGAAACACTGGGCTAGATCCATATGCAATCATATATACCTTTCCATCTATGCCTGAGTAGTCTCCAAGTTCCTCCAAAACACTTGCTCATTTTAAACATAGTTCTTGCCTGCACAAAATCACCCATTAAGTCAACTTTGTGAGTGATTTAAATATTTGTAAATATTTTAAGATTAACTAAATCATTATTAACTTACATTACATGAAATGTTACAAACCAATTTGACAAGATAATTGAAAACAGATTCCAGAAGTCCTGATTCCCAGTCACCACCCCAGTCCTCATGAACTGTCTGCAAAACATTTTTGCAGTGAAGTTAGTTGCAAACCCAGCACACATACATACCTGGTTTCTTTTATTCTGTGTTTTGCAAGTGTTCTCTGAAGTGCAAGATTTAGTCTTTCAAACTAGGGAAGAAAAAAGGTATATTGATTAAAACATCGCTGCTGAAAATTGAATCATAAGAGTAACATTTTTATACAGAGAAGAATTGTTTGCTGTCCTTGAGACTAACATCTTTTTTCAAGATGATATAGTTGTTAGAAACAGCATGTCATTTCTGTGTTCGGGGTTTAGTTTATGTTGATGTCTTCAACTCCAGTACCACTCATGTGCGCCAGTGGTCGTGCATTTTAAATATAGTGATGTGCTTTACCTCCAATATGTCAGATGGCAATAAAGGCAGTGTTGCTAAGAAATAAGTATAACTAACTCAACTTTCTATAATTACACATGCCGTCCCCCCAAAAAAACCAGCCGAATATGGATGCAAAATGTAGAAAGAAATATTTTCAGTTTAAAGTATATTCTCCTAACAGAAAAAGTCAGTTAAATGCTGCATGATGCCCAGAGCAAAACAGTAAAAAGTGGCTCTTCTACCTAATAACTTTATTTGGAATATTAAGAGTTAAATTTTTTTCAGGGCAATTTTTGGAAGTGTCAAGATTGAAATTGCAAAAGGTAACACAGTTTCAAATGTAGCTATAAAAGATCAATACAGCATTCTGTGCTTCAGATTACCTCCTTTTCTGTTTTCAAGACTATAGCATTTCAAGACAATGTTAGAACCATTTATTTTATATTTGTAGAAAAACAAGAATTTTGGCTATGTATGCTGCAAATCCAAATGTCCTCCAGATGAAAATCTAGTCACTGTAGATAACCTTTGTAAAATGATTCCGTAATAAAAGATTCCTTAGAGTATCATGAAGATTTACCTTAATTTACCTCAATCCCACAGTTCCATATCCCTTCTGTAGTTCCTAATTGGAACAGATACGACACTTTGCAAACATGCATATTTCAAATTGTTGGGGCCAGTAAAGCTGTCTTATGTATGTAGTCTCTAATCATTCAAAATCCAAACTACCCATAAAGACAAGGTCATAGAATAGTACTATACTGCCATGATAGATTTTGGCTGTGAGGCTTGCTTTGGTCTGGCTTTTCTTTGGTCCTCATTCCCTGAAGAAACTAGTGTTTTCTACTGCATCGTTTACTTTTTATGTTTTCAAAAGGAAAGTTTGCACATCTGAAGAAAATATCATGTGAAAGAAGGGCAATATATTCTGGAGACTTTTTCCAAGCAAAAATCTAAATTGAATAACAATGTATATAAACACAATGTAAATTACATTTGTGTATAAACTGGTACAGTAAGTGGAATGCCATCCAATTAATTACTTATCTCTGAACAATGCTCTCTATGTTTCTGTAAACACCCAAAGAAGCACATAAAACAATATCACATCTCAAATTTAATCAAAAGTTATTCTGTGTGCACTATGTCCTGAATTTCCATGCACAACTCACTGTTTTCATGAGGAGTTCGTGAATCAGTTGGGGTCATGATGCAGCCCCCTGTTTTGGAGTTTCCAATTGGAAAGAGGATTATGTTTGTCGCTGTAAGTAAGGCACTATGAAGTATCTAAGCGATGAAAAACATGTTTTGAAACAAGCAAAACCCTTCTATAGAGAACCGGGATTGGGAATATGCTTAGGTCTTGACCCCAAATCAGCATGAGAACAGACTACTAGACTTGGAAAAAATTCCAATGAATATGACTTGAATAACTGTAAATAGCAGTGACAATAACCTTGAACTTCAGTAGCTCCTGGAGTACATGGTCATAATATCCTTGACTTTACCAAGCTTTTGTCCCAGCTGATGAATTAGCCTATCAAGATTATATAATAGGCAGCTGCACACATTTATACTACTCTTTAAAGAAAAAAACCAGTTATTTAATTAAATTTAATTAAAAATCCCACCAACAACTATATACTAGGAAACCAATACAGCAATCATGACATCATACAAAGGGTGCTTTGCCAGTTCATTCTTGAGTTAAAAGTCCTTTCCTTTATACGTTTAAAGATCAGTTCAAAGGGATGAATTTCTTCCATGTAAGTGCAGCAGAGGTAAAAATAGGTCTATCAAAAATTGATTACGTAGAATTTTAGAGAAAGGGTAATAGATGAAGAGTTGCAAAAACAGATCTGCAAATAGATTTAACAAAACTCCAGCACTTTTAGTAAGGTACACTGAATATCCAGTTAATAGAATTGTAATTAATTGAGTATACAGAGTTGGCCATTTGCCATTTGTAATCCCAATATATACCAGTTCCTTCACACTTTCTGCAGAATTTGAGGCAAGCCCAAGTGTTGAATGTTATGGAGCTGCATTTTTCATGTTCTTTTTACAGAAACAAACCATGGTATCCATCTCCACTCAGGCAAACAACTGTGCATGCACTGTAGCTGTTTTCAGTTGAGTTGAGCAGAGACATAAGAATACGATTGTGGTAAACAGACAGAAACAATTTTAAAAATAGTATGACAGGAGGTTAGCATCATAGCAGATGAAAACAGCTATTTTAATTTTTTTGTGATAATGAGTAATGTACTTAGCAGTACGGATTCAGTTAGGTGAACTGTGAGGTGCCTACATAATTTACATAATTAGGTAACAAGGCAAAGTTTCTCTAATTTTATCTCTGTAAAAAAATTGCTACAGAAATACATGGATTTAAGAGGAACAGTTAAAATGATCAGTGGAAGGTTGCAAATAAAAGGCAAAAATATAGGGAAATACAGTGGAAGGGATGTTGTGTGCAAAACTGATTGTGGCAAAATTCTATCCGGAAGGAAAGGAAGAGGATGAAATGAGGATTTAAACTATGCAGAACTACGTAAGAACACAAACTTTGAAGTCAAAACAACTTTCTAAAGGCTTACATCTAAAGGCTGGCATAAAATGCTTTTTTGATGTTTATAATTAAATGCTACTAAAGTATTACTATTATTATGCAGTATCTATTTACCTCAGGAAATATTAGTTTGCAGATGCTTTCAGTTAATGTGTGCAGGTACACTCTACTTCTGCTCGTTTTCCTTTGAGGAAGGTTTCCTTGAGCATCTTTTTCATGGACTTCTTTGCAGATGGGCACAGCTGCTCTAGAGCTGTTTTCTGTGCAGTCCTTGTCATGTTCCTCAGTAATGTGACTTTGAGTCAGTAAGGAGAAAGGACATTCCCCTGTGATCTTCAAGTCTTTCAGTTTTGTGCAGAACATACTGTACAAAGTCTCTCTCTCGAGATTAAGAGTACTTGGCTTTGTGTTTAATAATTCTCTTCTGTTTACTAACAAGAGCAGAAGATGCCAGAATAGTAGAGAAGGCAACCAGTATGGAAGATTATTGGTAGCTATAAATCACCACAGGAACAAATGTGTGCCCCTACAAAACAAGAAGAAAAAAAAAATTAAAAACATTAATTTTCTCTTTGAAATACCCATGACGTACCAGTTTTATCATATGTGCATTAAAATAGTGGCTTTTCTATGACCTTGCTCAGGAAAGCACTTAAGCCCATGTGCCATTTTAAGCATGTAATCCCTATTGACTTCAGTGCTTCAGGTAAAGTTGTTTGCATGGTTAATTTCTTGGATGAATTTGGGCTCTAGAGATTAAGGCAGAGAAGTTGTTTTATTGGATGTATCTTTGGTCACATTGATGGATGAGGTTTACGAAAGAGTAGAGAGCAGAATTCTAATAAGAAACCTTTTTAATTCTTCATAAGCAGCTATTAGAAACTACCTGATATGGCACAATGAAACCGATTTGTTATGGATACTTAAATCCCAATTTACTTGACGCCCAAGATTTTATTTTTTTTTTGTAATGGAGAAATGTATGACTAAAGTTAGTACTTGCACTTCTGGAACAGCAAACCATCCAAGACCAAAGGCTAGCAGCTTGTGTAAAAGCCACTGGCTGGTGACAACTAACATCATGGGAATTTGACCACATAACTGAAGTTGCTTGGAAACACCAAGGGACTTTCATGCTTTTGAAGGTCATATCTTTCAAACAGTACATTAAAAAAAAGGGCTGAACTTTTAATTGTTTCCTGTTTGTTACATTTATTTTAGTTAGAATTAATCTGAAAAAGGCGCTTTCCTTAAGCCTTCATTTTCTATTGACTATATCTCATTGAATAAGATCCTCTCATCCTCATATAATACTCTAGCAAGGTAATCCTTGAGATCTTTTGGCAACTCTGGAAGCAGCTGAAGTATTATGCTTGTGTCTCTGGAGATACAGGACAATAACTATTTCTTTAACAGGCACTTATGGCTTTAATCAGCCTGTGCACCACACTGCTTATTTCTGCCCCTGAGACACCCAAAGGGCTTTTAGGGTTACACAGCAACTGCACCAGGGTTAAAAATAACTAATTCCTTGGAACAAGTTACCAGCTGCTTCTTTTGAAACAGCTGGAGTGAATGGCAGAGCAGCGGAGTGCTGCAGACCCAGCGCAAGTGGCACGGGGAAGAGAGGAAACAAGCAGAAGCTACTGTAGCTGCTGCCGAAAAAAAGTATTTGGCAAAAAAAGTCCTTTTGTATGCTGTATGTATGCTGTAATACTGATGGTGTCAGGCCAGCATCTAGGGAACATCTATCACAATTATGAAAGTATTATTTTAAGAATCAATAAACACAATGCTAAGAACCAGAGGTGGAAGAATGTTTACATAACGTTCTATATTTCTGATTTCTGTTTTTATGTAGAAACTCATTTGTTTCTACTGCATGGATATCAGTAATGCTTTATTTTTTATTGCTGAATACTATTGTGTAGGAAATGAGGCAGTGAAAAATTTCAAGCAAGAACCACACTCTCAATACATAAATACACGTAATACTTTTACGTGTAATGTAAGCATTGTTAAATATATGAAAAAGTGTTTTTACTCAGGAGCCATTACATAACCTCGTATTACTCTACTGAAAAAGAACAGCAGAAAACAACCACCTTTTCTGTAGTTAGACTGATCTGTGCACTGAAATAAACTGTTAAGAAAAATAGTAACGTAAATATATACGTGCACCATTGTCAAAAGATAAAAAAATTATGGCTTTGATGAATCTTACATATATACTCATGTGTTTTGCTGAATTTGGGCCTTAAATTTAAAGATAAATCTTTAATTTATAAACTAACACTACTAAAACATTAAAAATCAAGTATACCAGCATTTTGGAAGAAAATAATTCTGATATACTTTTGTGAAAAAAATTAATGGTTAAATTAGATACCAACAAATATTTACTTTTCATAATTACATTTTATATTTTATAATAATATTTTACATTTGCACTAAACTAAGAACAAAGGAAGTGAATGACCTTCAGCTATTACCAATAATTTTGATGGGGTTTTTTTTCTGCTGCTGTTAAAACTAATTCTCTCTTTCTAGAAGACAATAGTCTGGAATTATTTGGGGGTTCACTTCCATGCTAACATATTGTATTTTAATTAAATTACACTTGACGTGGTAGGAAAAATATCCAGGCGAGTAGAATCAATTCTCTGAAGGAAGTGATGCCATTATTTTACACCTGGAAAACCTGAAGTCTCCAGAAGCTGCCGAGTGGGAAGAAGAGGACCCAGAAGATGGTCACTGGCCAGAACTTATTCAGGGACAAACCGGGCCCTGATGTGAAGGTCCCTGAGTCGACAAAGCTGCTGGACATGCAGCTACTATGTCTGCAGCTTCATGCTGGGATGCAGCCTGGCCTGCCATCCTTCGTGCTGCAGGACACCCACATTCAACCTCTTCCTACCCTGGTGGGGATTGGAATCTGTGCCCTTGCTCTGAATGTGGCCTTGGGCTCCTGCCAATTGCTATTTATGACAAAATCATTATTGGTTTTCCAGAAAGTGGAGATCCATGATGTTTCTAGTAATAATACTGTTATACAAAACCAGTATCGTTAACATACAGATCTTTATGCTCCAAATAATGATGACAGAGTTCCTAAAGAAAGCTTCCTGCAGAACTATTTCCGAAGTGTCCTGAAGTTCTTGTTTTCCCAGAAACAAATGGGATGGTCCTTTTATAATATATATCCCAGTTCAAAACCAGTATCAACTTACTAGGCATAATAATTTTCAAGCTGTGACCAATTCAAGACTCTTCCTGACCTCCGCAATGACAAGATGCCCTAAATCACATCTTTAAAGAAACAAAGTGGAAAGCCTAGTTCCATGACACTTCAAATACTGGGAAAAAACCATGCATACACTACATCTTCCTTTCTTAAAACATCAAGTTAGCATCTGGTATCCTACGTGCATCTTGCACTTAATATAACTAAGATTCAGAAAAGAAGTCTATTGTGTTAGAGGAAAACCTGCCTCGCTCAAATGGTAATTAGACAGTGGTTTTAAAGGTCTGACAGGAGAAACATAATGAATCACCAGTGTAGAATTTACAGAAGGAATGTCAGCAGTATAATGGACCCTAAAAAGGTATGAGAAAGATGATGGCACACATCACAGGTTAAGTCAAAAATTTGCAGATGTGTTTCAAGAATGAAGAACACCAGCCCTCCCATTGTTCCCAATGGTTAAAGACATTTTCTGACCATAACAAAAAAAAATAAGAAACATGAGGAAACATGGGAAAAGTTTGTGGGTTTAATTTCTCTCCAAACATGCTTTGAGAGAGCTCATCCCAGGGGAGCAGCAGTGTTTAATGTGAATTCTCCATCTCTGCCATATTAATTGCTGTCATACTTACCTTGGGAAGCAAATTGAAAATTAAAATTAAATAATCTGCTGTGAGATCAAACTACAAGCAACCAATTTATTCAGTGTCTGGCTGAATGCAACATGGCACTGTGCCACTCAGAAAAATGAAGATGACTTCACATAGCATAGTCATAGCAGCAGAATAACTTAACAGTGCTCAAAATGCTTTGTGCAAACATTTCATTGTATATTTACATCTATACTTGTCTTACAGCCAAAATGCTTTCCTGTATGCTTATTTGTACTAGTTGCTTCTGAGTATTTTCCTCTGCTAAAACATTTCCTTGACAGTGCCATGAAATGCAGTGCAATGAATCAATCATACAGTAAAATCCCCTAGCATTAATACAGCCATTTATAAGAATTAAGCAATACCATTTGTTAACAGTAGCTAAAGTTGGTTTATAGTCTTAGCTTATGGACACGACACAAAAATTAGAAGCAACATTAAATACTTTTTTCTTACTACAAGCAGTCCCTTGCTCAGAGTAGGACAGAATATGGTATTATGCAATAATGTCACTTTTTTCTATTTAATCATACATATCACTTTGTTAGGTGAACTGATGCAAGTTGAGCAAGAATTAAAAAAGTCATCAGTTTGTTTTGCAGCAGTCAGAAGATAGCACTGACTGGATCTAACCTTCTCCAGCACGACAGTGATCGCACAGCACTTGCAGGAGCTCAGTGCAGTCTGGAAGCCATTGCCTCAAGAGAAGCAGCTGTGAACTTCTGTCTTGCCTTAATGTAAACCAGAGGCTTGTAATTCCCACTCAGCTCTAATCTCTGTGGGATTCAGAAATCACTGCCTTTTGCCCCTTGACAGTCAGCAGGCCTCTGCACAGAGCTGCTTTTACACACAGGCAAAACACAATCAGCTTCTAGCAAGACAGGTTAGTACCCATCACCCCATCAGTAGCAGCAGCTCCTTGTGGATTCAGCTGTTGTGCCTGTCAGCAGACAAACACAGGGAAACTAACTAAATCCTATCATTTTGTCTTATTAATCTGAAGGGCAATATCCGCCCTTTATTTTTTCTACTTCAAGTGCTGTGTGTAGCAACAGAATCAAAGCCCTGGTAATTTGTCTGTTTCCAAGGATTTTAAGGAGGCTTCTAAAATACTCTGAGAAAATTGCTCAAGTCTGCATCAATATACGTTAATATTTTAAGAAGTCAAAGTAAGTATTTATTAGTCTTATTAAATCATGTACAAATAAGTAAGCTTTCTTTGGCTGCTTCATTGTTAACCTAAACACGTTCAGAGTGCACACACCTTCAAAGTATTAATTTGTTTGAGTATTGCTGCTTTGGAGAGCCCAAGATGTAAGTAATCAGAAGAGATAGGCAAATCTGTTTACAAATTTCTGGGTGGTAGTGAGTTGTACCTAATAGAAAACGGCCAATTGTTGACTTAGGTAGAGGACATCTTGGAAAAGATGCATCCTTGTGAAGAGGAATGAGATGTTTTCCTGCATCTCCCCACTCAGAGACTAACCCATCAACTGAAATTTGAGGATGCCTCATTTACCTCTTTCCAGTAATTTGGTCCTGTCATTAGAAGAGTAAATACATTTGCTAACCTATCTGGGGATAACTGTGTCATTACACAAGAATAATTTAAAAAAGTATCAGCTGTAA